TGGAGACATCATGCGAACTCCTGCTGGCGCCAAAAACCAAGACGCGCTTTACATCAGTCACCGCGCTAGGTTCTCTCCACTTCGGAGGCTTGCAAGTTAAGTCCGCGAGAGGCTTCTATTCCCAAAAGCAATTTGACACAAGCCTGAACCGAGAACATGCTTCTTTGGGAGCTGCAAGTACGTGTGATGCCGGCTCTTGCCTGTAGGACCCATGGTAGTGCGGGAGCTTGACTTACACTGCGCTCCGTCCCCTCTTCCAAGAATGGATCTCGTGCGTGGGGGGGTCATGCGCTGTCCATCCCTCCTATTGCGCGCTCGGTTCCGGACCTATTTCCGTCACAGGCGATGAAATTTTTTAACCGATGCTCGGACTTTGGCAAGCAGGTTTTGCTAGGCTGCTACGGTCTTTCGAAGGTCAGGATGTCGTTGCGCAACATGATTCGAGCAACACCTGATATCTTGCGCTGCGTTGCGAAATACCATGGCCCTGCCTTGTTTAATGTTACCAAGGGGGGGCAGTGGGTGAGTTACCGAATGCTTTCGGAAACGTTTCTTGGGGTCGTTTATGTTACCATGGGAACCCTCCCCTCGACCTCGGTACCAGTTTACATGTGTGTCCTGCCCCTGTGTAACACAGCTAGCTCGCCTGGGGTGTAGGTACGCCTTAAAACTCACCGGTAACACTTCTGTGGCCCCATGCTTGAAGGGAAGGGGCATGAAATACCGGAATTTCGCTTGGTGCGTGAGCGCTTCTCATCGACACCAAATTGGTTCGGCGTCCCTTCCCTCGACTCCAGCCGCTCGCACGTCTTTGGGCTTGCCTCCTTCAGTAAGGCGATTTCTCATAAAGGGAACCCTTTTGGACAGTGAAGTTTTGACCCGGAGCCATAAGGTTAGCAGCGGTCTAGCGATTCTAGCGGCCTGATGGCCAACAACATTGTCGGTCTGCGCTTTGCTGTCGGCTTCACCCTTAGAAGCACGTGCCGCCTCCCTCTGTTTACTTCACACTGCCCTCACTGCCCTCACCAGTAGGATTGCCGTGTGTTCGTGTTCCGTCTTGGCGCCTCAGAAGTAGGTGTGGTGTGACGGAGTAGTGCAAGGGACTCAGCATCTTGTCCTGGTTTTACACACGTGCAGAGTGTGAAGGACGGTCCAGTTTCACGTCACGGAGAGGAAGGACACGGAGCACGGCCATGCATGGACGATTGCACCCGCGGGCACCAGACGTGTCTAGGTTTGCCGCGGTCTTGCGGTCTAGCTTCAAGTCGAAAGGCCTTAAGGGCGAACATGGCAAAGGATCCCTCAAAAGAGTCTACCATGAGAATCTAGGGTCCGGCTGGAGGATCCCAAGAACCAAGACATGAATCTCAAGACCCTGGTGCGTGGTTCCTCTGCATTTGCATGAGGAGGGCAAAGATAGTGTCATAGGGGCCACGACTATGGCTGGCTGGCTAGTGTCCATGCAGCCCATGCAGCTTGTTCCAGGCAAATTGCCGCAATAGTTTGCAGCCCAGTTGCCATCCATCTGAGCTCTGCCATGCTTCGGGAGACAACGCTGTTCTATGCTGTTGCATGAACCTCGATAAACGGGCTCGCATCCAACAGCGTAGAAGCAGCATCTGCAGGCCTGCAGGCTAATGCCAACTAAGGGTTGAAACCATGAACATGCGCACGGCCAAGAATTCAGCCATTGGCCGCGTAGCACGGTCAACTGGGACATCTGCAGCTTGGTGAATGACAGATGAGCAAGCGCCAAAACGCCCAGCCATTGAAGTAAGTAAGGGGTGGTCACGAATGCCCAAAACCCTGTAATGCGATGGGAGCACTTGAAAAGCGACGGCCCTAAGTTAATGAGCCGTTGGGTGTGCTATTGCCTTGATTTTTTCCCAAAGCGACACCTGCAGACATCAAGCGTGGATGGTTGATGCTAAAACCCTGTAAAACGATGGGAACACTTGAATGTGACACCCCTCATGTTGCGTCCATTAGCACCACGAGCCGGTTTTGGCAGTCGCTCAGAGTAAAGTGGCACGCTCGCCGGGAAGAACGCGAATGCTCTCTGGAGGGGCATGCAGTTGGCAAGCTATAGGCTGGGTTACCTGGAGCATGCAGAAGGTGTCGTGCCGACTGGCCTGTAGGCAAAGCTGTGTCCCGCGTTAGCCGCAACCTTGCGTGCCATCGTGTTGGGCCAGTTGCAAGCCGGGCACTCCGTGGCTCCGCGGCTCGTGTAGGATGCGGGCTTTCGCCTTTTTTTGTTAAGATGAGTGCGCCGCCAACCTCGGGACGCAATTGAGCGGCCGCGACGCTTTGCTCGTGGTATGGACTCCTCATGAAAGCAGCTAATGTGCCTTCAGATGCCTTCACCAAAAGATATTGCCCACTGCTTCTCCGTTTCCGTCTGGAGACGGTACGAGGATTGGTGCATAAGCCAAGTCAGAGGCACAGGCAAAGCAGCAGACACCGTGCAGGTTCGTAGAGTGGCTGGCTCACACCTTTGCTCGGGTTTGAGGCGCAAGCCGTTCGCCGGGTCACGCAAGGCCTTTCTGGCCGGCATAGCTGGCCGGCACCGCCGGCCCGTGATGTGTCCCACCAGGGTCACCCTGCTTTAGAACTTGTTGGCCTGGTGCCCAGCCAGCAGGTTTTTGCAGGTTCTTTGATTGTCGTTCCACAGCTTGGGCTTGCCGTGCTTCATCGCAGCAAGTTGCCGTCTCATGAATCCATGGGGCGTTAAGCTTGGAACAGCCTCGCGCTCATTCTGGAGCATTCGTTGGCGGATCATGTTGCTCAGGCACATGGTCCAAACCCCCTGCGCTGCAGAAGGCATCTCAGGAGGTTTGGCCCGCAGATGCCATGGCAATGGACGTAAACTAGTGTAGCTAGTGTAGCTGCGTAGACTGGCGTGGCGACTATGGTGACCATGGTGTCGACGCGGAGGCCGGCAGCGCAGGTTTGGTCTTTGGCTGGCCGTGTTGGCAATAGTCTCGACAAGAGCGTCTGCTCTCTGCCTCTGGTCATATAGCGGGCGGATGATCTCAACAGGAAGCGGCCTTTCACGGGCTGATCGTCCGTATCTGCGTGCGCGAGCTATGGCAAGCACAAGTACAGAGGTCTGGGAATCCGGCACGGCTCTTTTGCCATTTCCCATCTGTCTCCACGACACGTGATTCTTTCGGCACAGCTACCGACTGTGACATGGCGCCGGCCTACCGGCTTGCCCGACAATGGTTGAGAAAAGTCTTCGTCTTAATATGGGTGCGGCTCAAAAGTCTAGGTATGTAACTGGCTCCCGGGCGTCTTTCCGCGACATAGGGTTTGTAACAAAGCCGTTCTGCTTGCGACAAGCAGCGTCCGCGACAAACCTCCGCGACAAGCCTCCGCGACAAGCCTTTGCGACAGGCCCCTTCTTGGAACTGCAACCTTCGACGACGAAGGCATTGAGACAGCGCACGAAACAGCCGCGACAAACCCCGCGACATACGTATGAAACAAGTGGGCACGACATACGTATGTAACACAGGCGGGGGTCGGGACACCGACATACCCCTGTTTAGAGCCACAGCCATATGGCTCCGGACCGGCTTCGGACTTGCCGGTAAGATTGGGCCAAGACAAGTAGGGTGGCATACTCGCAGAAGAACAGGAGCCTGGAGATTCAGCTAACCTCAAGCTGGCATGCAACCCGCAACCCGATTCTTCCCTCGGCCCTTTTTTGTGGGTTTAGGGCAGATAGGCCTCTGTGCAAGGTCCACTCTCAGTCCTGTGCAGTTGCCCAATTGGCTGTTTACGCAGCTTCTCAGGCAGCAGGCGTGAGAGATTTGGGCCTCTTGCTGTCCTGCTCCGTCTCCACGTTGGCCCCTTGTTGGCCATTGTGTGTGTGCGAGGTCTGGGAATGTGGCACTTCTCTTTCGCCATTCCCCATCTTCACGACACGTGCTACCAACTGTGACATGGCATGGGCCCGCCGACAACCGTTGAGAACAGTCTTCGTCGCACAAGCAAAAGAGCCAAAGAGATGTGATTCGGCGAAAGCGACCTGTTTCTGAAGAGTAAAGGACTTCGGCTATCAGCCCAGTTGCCTTTGACGAGGCTGATCGTCAGATTTTTCGTGCGCAAGCTCCGGTGTCGCCGGTGAGATTGACCCCCTTTGGGCGAAGACCACAAGAAGTGATGCGTACTCGCAGAAGAACAGGAGCATGCAGATTCAGCTAGCCTCAAGCCGGCATGCGAACTGGCATGGCAGTCGCAAATCTTGCAACTCGATTCTTCCCTCGGCACACAGTCTCGGCATCCGGCACGGCTCCTTTTCCACGACACGTGGAATCTTCGGCACAGCTACCGCTACCAACCGCAACACGGTGCAGGCTTGCTCAGACAAGCGTTGAGAAAACTCTTCGTCGCGAGAGCAAAAAGGCCAACGAGATGTGACTCGGCGAATGCGACCTGATTCTGAAGCGAAAGGACTTCGGCTATCAGCCCAGCTGCTTTTTAAGGGCTGATCGTCAGAGTTTTCGTGAGGCAGCTCATTGACCCTCTTCGGGCCAAGGCCACAAGTAGAGAGACGTACTCGCAGAGGAACATGGAGATTCATCTAGCTCAAGCTCGAGCTGGCATGCAACCTGGCGCAGTTGCACATCTTGCAACCCGATTCTTCCCTCGGCCCTTTCCGGGCACACGGGCTCGGCATCCGGCACGGGTCCTTCGCTGTCCCCCTTCTTCACGACACTTGGAATCTTCGGCACAGCTACCAACCGCAACACGGTGCAGGCCGGCTTGCTCGGACAAGCGTTGAGAAAACTCTTCGTCGCGAGAGCAAAAAGGCCAACGAGATGTGACTCGGCGAATGCGACCTGCTTCTGAAGCGAAAGGACTTCGGCTATCAGCCCAGCTGCTTTTTAAGGGCTGATCGTCAGAGTTTTCGTGAGGCAGCTCATTGACCCTCTTCGGGCCAAGGCCACAAGTAGAGAGACGTACTCGCAGAGGAACATGGAGATTCATCTAGCTCAAGCTCGAGCTGGCATGCAACCTGGCGCAGTTGCACATCTTGCAACCCGATTCTTCCCTCGGCCCTTTCCGGGCACACGGGCTCGGCATCCGGCACGGGTCCTTCGCTGTCCCCCTTCTTCACGACACTTGGAATCTTCGGCACAGCTACCAACCGCAACACGGTGCAGGCCGGCTTGCTCGGACAAGCGTTGAGAAAAGTCTTCGTCGCAAAAGCAGAAGAGCAACAGACTCAGTGAAGACGACCGATGCTTCCGAGGGAGTAAGGAGCTGATGATCTCACTCCGCATTGATGCGTCGTTGATGGCCGCGGTGCCCTTCCAGGCATGGCCGTTGTACATGGCCAGGTTGGCCTCGCGGCACAAGGACTGCATCAGAGCACCCTTGTCTCAGCAGAGTGTACGCTGGGAGCATTTCGCAGGCTGTGAGCATTGCCCACATGCCAGAACAACAAAAGGCTGAGACCGAACAGCATCTAGGCAAGCAGCCTCCAAACGTGGCACCTTCAGGCATCGGCCAAAGACAGGGCTGGTGGGATCTACAGCTTCAGCTCGTGAGCTGCAAAAGAGTGGCTTGCACTTTCTGGAAACACTTGGAGTTCGACTGTTCAACTTCGCAATTTCGCGCCTTTCGGGACTTTCGCACTTTTCGACTTCTCACGTACATTGGCACTGGTCACACTTGTGTGCATGATTTTTGAGCTTTTTGGCAATTTTGACAGTTCACGTCTTGAAATCTCTACGTTGCCAGCATACCTAAACCATTCATGAACCAAAAACTCCCAAGCTCTAGCCTCAGGACCCAGAAGCAAAGCAACCACGCAAAGCAGTCCAGACGCAACGATAAGGAACACAACCGCACATTGCGCACCAAGAAGCATCAACAAGCACAACAAACACACACCACGCAAAACAACCACACACGGAGCCAAGACGCATCAGCTACCACACATCAGGCCAAGACGGACTTCCCACGATGGCATATGCCATATGCGTTTGCTCTTGCAGTTTGATGAGAATTTTGTTGCTGCACTCCACTCCTGCACAGCAAGACCTGACGGTCTGATGCTTGCCAGTGCTCGACCGGTGTCATGCAGGACCCGGCAAGAACTGAGCGGGAAGTTGGGAAAGCAATATGCGAGTGTACTCCATATCTTAAGTTGACATATCGGAACTGTTCTTCAGTCAGTTGTCCGATGGAGATTCAACGCACAAATTCACCACCTACCAAGGGAGGTTGATGTTGATGCACCCACATTTGGAATGCTTTGTTTAGAAATTCGCGTGTAGCGCATGGAGACAGCGGTTTCGATTCTGACCGTTTTGTGCTTGCTGCCCTCATCAACAGGGCTGCGCTGTAAGCGGGGGTCGGGGTGCCCTTGTAGTACCCAAAACAACTGTTGTTTTTGTCAAGGATGATATATGATATAGGGTTTTTGGTTTATGATATAGTCTTATGAAGTCCATTTGGGCTCTCAGGCGTTTGCCCACGATGTAAAGTTGTCATTTACATATTCCATTATACTATTCCATCATACATATACACATACAAAAACATATACCAAAAACATATACAAACACATATACATATACACATACGTATACACATACGTATAGGAGCGAGGAGGGCGACCATGACACCCGTGGTGACAAGGACTGACTTGAACTTGTGGCCGAGTACAGACTCGGCTTTGAAGGATTTGCGGGCTTGGGCTTTCTGCGACTTGGAGGTGTGACTGTAGGTTGGCGTCTGAAGTTCCTTTGAATGGCAGAGCATGGCAGAGCCATAGGTTCCAAACCTCATCGCCAGGCAAAGCCTCAGGTTGGGGTTTAACCCAGCGAGTCCGCACATTGTAACGCTTGGCAAAGCTCCCGTTTGGGTGCGCTGTTATTTTCTTGGAACTGCAGAGCTACTCAGTGCCCAAATGGCCCAATCATCCCAAATCCGAAACTAAATTCTGCACTTGTGGTTGACTCAGGGTCCCAGGCCTTATTTTCGACATAAGGAGAGATCACACTAAAGGCTGATGACTAATGTTGAGCTCCGGGGCCAAAAACTGGTTGCTCTCGTTTTCGTGAGTGTCGGGAGTTGGGAAGTCCAGGGCTCGAGGAGGTGCGGGGCCCAGCGCACACCTGACCTGAGATGTTGGGAGGCGGGCTTGAGCTGGCATTGGCTCAGTTGCGAACTTCGAACTGACCACCCAATCCTGGCAGCTCCTAACTCCTCGGCATGAACCCACAACAGCCGGCCATTTTTGGCCCTGAGGAAAGCACAGCTTTCCATGCTTGCCTTGAGGAGCTGCTGCTGCCACCGGGAATGTGCGACTTTCCCGAAGCCGGGAGCTGAGGATCCCGAATGCTCTACAGCACGGCTTCATCGTAGCCTCTGGAACTTGCGCCGCCCTCAGACGTAGTGGCTGGTTTGGAAGTGGCTAACTGGCAGTTTGCAAAATGTGGAGGATGTCTCGGGTTCAGAGCAGTTATGGGGTTTCGTATTGAGGGTTTTAGCTTGCATGCTAATGAGTGTCTGCAGGCCTTGGGTTCTGCGGACTGCGCGCCTACGCGGTGATTCATATTTAGCTTGCATGCTCTACAGCACGGCTTAAAAACGTGAGGATGTCTGAGGTTTAGAGCCTCAGAGCAGTTAAGGTCTTGTGCTGAGGGTTTTGGCTTGCATGCTCATCAGAGTCTACAGGCCTTGGGGTCCGGAGTGGTCTTCTGCCTGTGACACGACGCTCAGTCGTTCGAACATTCTCGAACGCATTGCGGCGGCTGTGCTTTCCAGACCCGTGTATGTCACGCCCTGTGTGTTTCTCCGAGGTCATGCCCGTGCATGTCACGCCCTGTGTGTTTCTCCGAGGTCAAGACCCGTGCATGTTACGCCCTGTGTGTTTCTCCGAGGTCAAGACCCGTGTACGTCACGCCCTGTGTGATTCTCCGAGGTCAAGACCCGTGTACGTCACGCCCTGTGTGCCAAGACCCGTGTATGTCACGCCATGTGTGTTTCTCCGAGGTCAAGACCCGTGTATGTCACGCCCTGTGTGTTTCTCCGAGGTCAAGACCCGTGTATGTCACGCCCTGTGTGTTTCTCCGAGGTCAAGACCCGTGTATGTCATGCCCTGTGTGTTTCTCCGAGGTCAAGACCCGTGTATGTCGCGCCCTGTATGTTTTCCTCCGAGGTCAAGACCCGTGTATGTTGCACCCGTAGATGTCACGCCCTGTGTGTTTCTGCGAGGTCAAGACCCGTGTATGTCACGCCCTGTGTGTTTCTTGGAGGTCAAGACCCGTGCATGTCACGCCCTGTGTGTTTCTTCGAGGTCAAGACCCGTGTATGTCAGGTCCTGTATGTTTTTCTGAGGTCAAGACCCGTGTATGCCACGCCCTGTAGGGTCAAGACCCGTGTATGTCACGCCCTGTGTGTTGCTTCGAGGTCAAGACCCATCAAGACCTGTGTATGTCACGCCTCGCCCTGTGTGTTTCTTCGAGGTCAAAGAGCCGTGAATGTCACGCCCTGTGTGTTTCTTCGAGGTCAAGACCCGTGCATGTCACGCCCTGTATGTTTCTCAAGACCCGTGTATGTCACGCCCTGCGTGTTTCTCTCGGGTCATGACCCGTGTATGTCACGGTCAAGACCCACCCTGTGTGTTTCTCCGAGGTCAAGACCCGTGCGTGTCACGCCCTGTGTGTTACTTCGAGGTCAAGACCCGTGTATGTCACGCCCTGTGTGTTTCTTCGAGGTCAAGACCCGTGTATGTTACGCCCTGTGTGGTTCTCCGAGGTCAAGACTCGTGTATGTCACGCCCTGTGTGTTTCTTCGAGGTCAAGACTCGTGTATGTCACGCCCTGTGTGCTTCTCCGAGGTCAAGACCCGTGTATGTCACGTCCTTGTGTGTTTCTCCGAGGTCAAGACCCGTGTATGTCACACCATGTGTGTTTCTCTGAGGTCAAGACCCGTGTATGTCACGCCCTGTGTGTTTCTTCGAGATCAAGACCCATGTCTGTCACGCCCTGTGTGTTACTTCGAGGTCAAGAGCCGTGTGTGTCACGCCCTGTGTGTTTCTCCGAGGTCAAGACCCGTGTATGTCACGCCCTGTGTGTTGCTCCGAGGTCAAGACCCGTGTATGTCACGCCCTGTGTGTTTCTTCGAGCTCAAGACTCGTGTATGTTACGCCGTGTGTGTTTCTTCGAGGTCAAGACCCGCGTATGTCACGCCCTGTGTGTTCCTTCGAGGTCAAGACCCGTGTATGTCACGCCCTGTGTGTTTCTCCGAGGTCAAGACCCGTGTATGTCACGCCCTGTGTGTTACTTCGAGGTCAAGACCCGTGTATGTCACGCCCTGTGTGTTTCTTCGAGGTCAAGACCCGTGCATGTCACGCCCTGTCTGTTTCCCCGAGGTCAAGACCCGTGTATGTCACGCCCTGTGTGTTTCTCCGAGGTCAAGACCCGTGTGTGTTTCTTCGAGGTCAAGAGCCGTGTATGTCACGCCCTGTGTGTTTCTCGGTGGTCAAGACGTCAAGACCCGTGTATGTCACGCCCTGTGTGTTTCTCCGAGGTCAAGAGCCGTGTATGTCACGCCCTGTGTGTTTCTCCGAGGTCAAGACCCGTGTATGTCACGCCCTGGGTGTTACTTCGAGGTCGAGACCCGTGTATGTCACGTCCTGTGTGTTTCTCCGAGGTCAAGACCCGTGTATGTCACGCCCTGTGTGTTTCTCCGCGGTTAAGACCCGTGTATGTCACGCGCTGTGTGTTTCTTCGATGTCAAGACCTGTGTATGTCACGCCCTGCGTGTTTCTCCGAGGTCAAGACCCGTGTATGTCACGCCCTGTGTGTTTCTCCGAGGTGTTTCTCCGAGGTCAAGACCCGTGCATGTCACGCCCTGTGTGTTTCTCCGAGGTCAAGACCCGTGTATGTCACGCCCTGCGTGTTTCTCCGAGGTCATGACTCGTGTGTGTCACGCCCTGTGTGTGGTTCTCCGAGGTCAAGACTCGTGTATGTCACGCCCTGTGTGTTTCTCCGAGGTCACGACCCGTGCATGTCACGCCCTGTGTTTTTCTCCGAGGTCAAGACCCTTGTATGTCACGCCTTGTGTGTTTCTCCGAGGTCAAGACCCGTGTATGTCACGCCCTGTGTGTTTCTCCGAGGTCAAGACCCGTGTGTGTTTCTTCGAGGTCAAGAGCCATGTATTTCACGCCCTGTGTGTTTCTCCGTGGTCAAGAGGTCAAGACCCGTGTATGTCATGCCCTGGGTGTTTCTTCGAGGCCAAGACCCGTGTATGTCACGCCCTGTGTGTTACTTCGAGATCAAGACCCGTGTATGTCACGCCCTGTGTGTTTCTCCGAGGTCAAGACCCGTGTATGTCACGCCCTGTGTGTTTCTTCGAGGTCAAAACCCGTGTGTGTCACGCCCTGTCTGTTTCCCCGAGGTCAAGACCACGCCCTGTGTGTTACTTCGAGGTCAAGACCCGTGTATGTCACGCCCTGTGTGTTTCTTCGAGGTCAAGACCCGTGTATGTCACGCCCTGTGTTTTAAAGTCAAGACCCGTGTATGTCACGCCCTGTGTGTTCCTTCGAGGTCAAGACCCGCCTATGTCACGCCCTGTGTGTTCCTTCGAGGTCAAGACCCGTGTATGTCACGCCCTGTGTGTTTCTCCGAGGTCAAGACCCGTGTATGTCACGCCCTGTGTGTTACTTCGAGGTCAAGACCCGCGTGTGTCACGCCCTGTGTGTTTCTTCGAGGCAAGACCGTGTATGTCACGCCCTGTGTGTTGCTCCGAGGTCAAGAACCGTCTATGTCACGCCCTGTGTGTTACTTCGAGGTCAAGACCCGTGTATGTCACGCCATGTCACGCCCTGCGTGTTTCTTCGAGGTCAAGACCCGTGTATGTCACGCCCTGTGTGTTTCTTCGAGGTCAAGACGCGAGAGAAGCAACATTCGGAAAACAGGGGCAACAGTCAGCAAAACAGGCGTCGAAAACAGGGACGCAACAGTCGCAAACGACCACGGCCAGAGTCAACAACACCCAGGCAACAATTCAAAAACACCAGCGCAACAGTCAGCAAACAGCAGACCAGAACCGCTGGAAAACACGAGCCGTGCGTCAGAAAGCACGAAACAGCTCAGAGTCGCAAAAGCGAAAGCTGCAAGTCAACAAACATGGCTTGTTCTTTCAGTCAGTCAGTCTCATTACTCTGCATAGCTGAGTGAAGTCTACACTCATAAGAATCTAGACTTTTCTCCAGGAAAAGCCCTACTTTCCTTACATTTTGGACGGATTTTCTGTCATTTTCCTTAGGTTTTCGTTGGTTTTTCATAGGGAAAGCCCTATTTTCTTTACATTTTGGACGGATTTCCCTGTCATTTCCCTTAGGTTTTCCTTGGCTTTTCCTAGGGAAAACCCTGTGTTCCTTACATTTTGGACAGATATCCTCATTTCCTTGAGGTTTTCGTTGGTTTTTCTACGGAAACCCTATTCTGCTTACATTTTGGACGGATTTCGTCAAGCGTAAAAGCCACCCTGCTCACATGATGGGTGCCAACAAGTTTCTTGGGCTTTGAAGCGCGCTCTGCACCGCCCCCCCCCCCCTCATTTGCAATAAACACAATGCTCACACGATGTTTTTCAACTAGTTTCTTGGGCTTTGAAGCACGCTTGGTACGGCTTAAAAGAAGCGGGGGGGGCGGGGATTGGTGGGAGGGCGCAGCCCCCCCACTTGCAAACACCCTGCTCACATGATGGGTGTCAACACGTTTCTTGGGCTTTTGAAGCACGCTTGGTACGACTTGAAAGAAGCCGGGGGGGCTTGGGGGGGCGCAGCCAAACCCCCCCCATGTGCAAACACCCTGCTCACATGATGGGTGTCAACTTGGGCTTTGAAGCACGCTGCACGGCTCAAAAAAAGCGGGGGGGTTGGGGGGGGGCGCAGCCCCCCCCCCCCCCCTTTGCAAACACAATGCTCACACGATGTTTTTCAACTAGTTTCTTGGGCTTTGAAGCACGCTTCCTTTCTTCCTTCCTTGCTTCCTTCCTTCCTTTCTTCCTTCCTTGCTTCCTTCCTTTCTTCCTTCCTTCCTTTCTTCTTTCCTTCCTTCCTTGTTTTCTTCCTTTCTTTCTTCCTTCCTTTCTTTCTTTCCTTCTTTCCTTCTAAAACCTACAAGAAATATCGCCTTCCTCTGAAAATACAGAGGGAATTACGGTTTTTCGTACGAACAACCACGAAAATGCATCAAATCCTGTAAACAAAAAGAGGAAAGGTGGTTTTCTTAGGAAAAAACAAGAAAATGAACCAAAAAAAAGACCCCCCCTCCCCCCCCAAAAAAAAAAATAAATAGGCCCTCCTTTTCTAATTGCGGCTTACGGAGCGCTTACTTGATCTGGCGTGTTTTTGTTGTGGCGGTTCGCTTGCTGACTGCGGCTTCGTGTTTGCTGACCCGTGGCTTTTTCTAATGGTGACTTTTCTAGGCTTACGGAGCGCTTACTTGACCTGGCGTGTTTTGTTGTGGCGGTTCGCTTGCTCACTACGGCTTCGTGTTTGCTGACCTGTGGCTTTTTCTAATGCTGACTTTTCTAATGTGGGAGCCTCTGAAGACTCAAGGGATCATCGCGTCAATGCATTACAACGACCGTACGTTTTTCCTTTCGGATTGCTTGCTTCCGATGGTGGCTTTTGCGTTTTGCGACTGTGGCTTTTTCTAATTCTGAATTTTCTAACTGGGGCTTCGGAGGCGGGCGGCGTATATTTTTCTTGCTTCCTGCTAGCGGCTTTTTGTTTTTCGACTGCGGCCGTCATGTTTTTTGATTTTTGCCTTGCTGTTTTCCGACAGTGGCCCTCATGTTTCCGTCTCCACGTCCTCGTTTTTCGACTGCGGCCTCCATGTTTTCGACTTTGTTTGCTGAATTCGGCGTTGCCCCAAGACGCGATGGCCATCGCCCTGCTCCATCACACTAGTTTGTGGCAGAACCAGTGCGTCCACCAGCGCGCCCTTTTTCTCATAGCCGCCTCCGGAGCCATCTCCAGCCATTGCCCGCGCTTCATTGGCGCTCCAGGCCTCTGGCGCGTTGACCCGCACTCCCGTCGTGCTCCAGGTCGCACCTTGCGAAACTCCAGTAGTACCCATATTCCAGTCCAGCACGTTCAGAGCTTGTCGACGGAGATATCGGAAGACTGACAGCTTGTGGGATCTCTAGAACATCCAATACCTTTACCTCGCTTGCAACCACGTCCATGTCCCATTGCCACAGGAGCAGAACTGCTGCCAGATGAAAGAACCTTCTTCTCCTCCTTGGGTACCTCTGCCAAAGTTCCATCAGCCACGCTGACCATTCCAGAATCCAGAGCCACATTCTCAACCACTGCGTCACCACCAGGAAGATCAACGATGTCATCCCCCTGCATCTGGTGTTTTCCAGCGATACTCAGCGGCTCTCCAGATACCAAACCAGTTTTATTCTTTGGCTTAAGGGTCTTTGGGTTGAAGTGCCTCCACCACCCCTAGAACCCCCTAGCCCACCACTCTCCTCAACAGCAGACAGAAAGGTACTTCGTACATCTTCCCTTTCTTCCTCTGCATTTTTTAGTGCAACTTCAGCTACCATGGCCGAAACGCTCCCCTGTTGAGCCACCACTGACTCAGTACTCGGCCTTGAAGAGATAGGACCCAGCCGACGCTCAATCATCGCAGGCTCCATGCCCACTGGCGTACCAGCCCTCTCATCTCCTCTTCCAGTCGAGCTCACATTTTCCTTGGCAAACCCATCCGGGCGCTTCCACTGAGTCCGCCCATCATTCAGACAGTCTTCCGCCAGAACGTCAGGAGAGCGGCTCAGCAGCGGCTCTGTTCCTCCTCCAGAGACCGAGCCCTTTTTGCCTCCTCTTCCAGAATCTCGGTGGGGACATCACTCCAGAGCTGGCTCCTCACCCAGTGCTTCACCAGAAGGCGGGCCAAAAACGGAAGAACTGGCATTTCCACTGCCAGAAACATCATTCGACTGATTGAGTACCACCAACCCAATCAGTTTCAGCACTCTGCTCAACCACTTGTCTTCCAGAAGCTTGTGATGATGCGTTCGCCCCTCGGATTGGAACCTTCAAAACCTCTGCTCCAAATCCAGTGTCTTCGTAAACACGCTTCTCGCCAGCCCTAGGGCGCCTTGCATCCTCACCAGAAACCTCTACAGAAACCACTGCGGCACCATCCAACTCCGGCCCCATTGGCCTCCAGAGTGTCAGGCATTCCAGATCTTCCATGGCCAGACTTCACACAAATCCATTTAAACCAAAACACGCAGGGACCCAAACCTATCTTTTGGGCTCATAACCTACGCGGCGACCTACAGGGGGAAGGAACCTTAGGAAACCCACCCTCTATGATCGCTAATCTTTTTTGGGATTCAGCGGAGTGTTTGGTTTCTACCAGTCCAAAACCCTATACTCCCCGAAGGGGTACCAACCGAGGCTACGGGGGTCCAGTGCAGGGTTACCGGCCCTAAGGCAACACACAGAACCCAACCGAGGGTCCTAAACCCAACACCCCCAAACCCTACACCAGCGGGCTCTACTTTTCCATCCCTTGAGCCACCTGCATGTTTACGCATGTTCATCTTTACACAATTCACTTACATCTCCGCATAGGGCTTGGGGCTTAGGGCTTAGATTTGTCGAGCCCTGAGCCGTCAGATCTTTTGCGCGAGCTCCCCAACCTCACGAGCTTGCACAGCAGGCCATCGACAGTTTCACCCCACGAGACATTCTGTACAATCTGAGAGCATGTCAGGCACAAGCGGTCTCGTTGGATGCGGGGACATCCTGCCTTCCATCAGAAGCAACATCTGACCCAAAAGCCCAAACCCTGCACCCGATAAGCTCCAGATTCGAAAGCCGAGTATCATTTTCATACGAGGCTGGGTCCAGATTAGGGTCTTCGTGTAGTCATGCACCCACGCGCGGTTTCCTTACAGAAAAGCTGCTCCCCAATCTTGACGTTTGAAGGACAGGGTGGGGATTTTCGCAGTGGTGATTTTGAGTGGGTTTCCCAAGGCAGTTTGTTTAGATCCCAATCGAATTTAGCTCCGATTGAATCAGAAAGAAGTAAAAAAAAACAACAGACAACCCAAAACCGCCCGAGTTCCTGCCAATCATAATCAGCTGTCGTTCCTGCTGCGTCAGACACCAATCAGACCCAAAACGATTTGTGTGTGTGTGTGTGTGTGTGTGTGTGTGTGTGTGTGTGTGTGTGTGTGGGTGCGGGCGTGCGGTGCGTGCGTGCGTGCGTGCGTGTGGTGGGTGGGTGTGGGTGTGTGTGTGGGTGGTGTGTGTGTGTGTGTTGTGTGTGTGTGTGTGTTGTGTGTGTGTTGTGTGTGTTGTGTGTGTGTTGTGTGTGTTGTGTGTGTTGTGTGTGTTGTGTGTTGTGTGTGTTGTGTGTTGTGTGTGTTGTGTGTGTTGTGTGTTGTGTTGTGTGTTGTGTGTTGTGGTGTTGTGTGTTGTGTGTTGTGGTGTGTGTGTGTTGTGGTGTGTGTGTGTGTGTGTGTGTGTGTGTGTGTGTGTGTGTGTGTGTGTGTGTGTGTGTGTGTGTGTGTGTGTGTGTGTGTGTGTGTGTGTGGGTGCGGGCGTGCGTGCGTGGGGGCGTGCGTGCGTGCGTGCGTGCGTGCGTGCGTGCGTGCGTGCGTGCGTGCGTGCGTGCGTGCGTGCGTGCGTGCGTGCGTGCGTGGGTGGGTGTGGGTGGGTGGGTGGGTGGGTGTGTGTGTGTGTGTGTGGTGTGTGTGTGTGTGTGTGTGTGTGTGTGTGTGTGTGTGTGTGTGTGTGTGTGTGTTTAACCCTGGCTGCATGTCTTGTTGGAAGGTCAACCTTGTCCGCGGCTTTTCATCTCAGCGCACGTTAGTGTAGCCTGACAAGGGTGACGTGTTAAGAAGTTTAGCTCAGCGCTCCGGCATGTCAATGTCGTTTTCTACGTGGTTGAACAAGGCCGGGCCAGATGTCGCGTAGACTGTTGGAACAAGTTACAACAACCTCCGGCTATGTCACGCAGATTTTCGGTGTTGACTAAGGATCATGTAGCGCTGTGCTGGAAGCCTGAAGTTTTGAAGTAAGTCGCACTGTATACTGCCACCATCAGCACGGGTCATTTGTTGAAGATACCTGAAGCACTGGCCCTTCACAACGGCCGCTGGCCGCTGTGTAGCTGTTCGCAACATTGCCCGATTTTTCCAGAGTCCGCACATTGCAAAACCCAGAATTCCCCAAATTCCGTTGCATGCCCTCAAGCTTGAGACCTGATTGTCAGATGGGTGCCTTCACAGTTCGCACAGAAATGGCCCGCTTCTAACCTCAAAGCGAAGCCCAGCTCTGCCAAGAAGAAGCACCTGCAACTAAGTGAAGCCCACCGTGAGTGCCAAATTTGGCGTTGTGTTTTGCTGGACATGGTATGTTGAAATGAAGCCCTCATGTTCCAGAAGCCCTCAAGCGGAAAGCTTTTTCCAGCGTTTACAGCCCAAGCGCCCAGAAGCGAGCCGCATGGATGGAGGATTCAGCTTCTTGACTTGGGAACTATTTCTTGTATGCCTTCTTGTTTTTTTCTCCGTCAAAGGCTCTGCGGCTAAACTCCTTTCCTGGATCTTCGATTGGGGAGCGATGGGTTTCTTGCCTTCAGGGCTCTTTGGTGTTCAGTGATTCAGGTTCCTTTGGTTTCCTGTCCTTTCAGCAAACTCAAATGATCTGCAATGTGTGTGCATGACGCTCCATAGTAATAGTATCAGGTCAAAGTGGACACCAAGCCTTAACGCCAAGGACATACCATGCAAGAAGCAGCGCGTTGAACGCAGCTTGGTTGGCATTTGTTTGGTGCGAGGTTTAATCAGGCCGTATAAGATAGACTACGCGACCATACGAAACAGAGAATTTATTCGCGAACGGTGCTCCCATGACAGTCTCGGTATTCGGCATCACCAGCATTTTGGGGTTCGAGATTCAAGGTTTATTTTCACTTTCATGGATGCAAAAAAAATGGATGGATCTTCCCCCCGAGGCGCTGTGCGACCCTCGATGGCAAAGCGCCATCCCAAGAAGGCCGAAAGGGGACATGACGACAACCTCATACTAAGTTGTGTTACTACATTATAAGATCTGAAGTCAAGCAAGACAGCTACTTCCCATTCGGTCTGTCGTTTCGGCTGGAATTCCCCATACATGGTTGGCGCCATTTTCGCAAGAGGGTGTCATCACTGGTGTAAAGTTTTGTGGCATTGACACGGTTTGCAAGAAAGGATGCCTTGAGGCTTTGAGATTGCACAAGGGTTTTGCGCCATTTTGGGACATTACTGTCCTCACCCTTTACTCAGCCCAGTTGCGCACGGTTCTCAATTGTTGACTACAATGCTCTATTCTTTGATATTCTTTTGCATGTCCCGAATCCCACAAAGCAGACACGGACAGGATACCCATGTGTGTTCGCGAATGCGGGAGACTTTCGGATATGAGTTTGGTCAACTCTCCAAAGCAGCGGCCCGGAATGACACCGGACATGACCTGTGCTCTTGAAGTTTGGCCTCCAAAAGGCCCCAAACCCACACCCATCAGTCCCATCAGTGCAATCAACCCGTGCCCTTGACGTTGGCAGCTCCTCCCAGCACCGTCGACAGGGCAAAAAATGAAAAGGTCTCCGGGTTCCGGCACCTGAAACCTGAAAAAAAACCCCGAAGCCCCGAAACCTGAACAGCGTAGCTGCGTAGCAATTCTAAGCGACCCTTGCGTAAATGTGTGACCTCCAGGATGAGCTGCAAGAGGAAAAGCAGAAGCGGCGTGAGGCGGCGTGAGCGGCCTTCTTGGTTTTTGACCTCGCGGCCACCCCGGCAACCCTACACTACAACACCTTCCAAATCCCTTGGAATCTGCATGTTGAAGCGCAGTCGACAGAGCAGAAAAAGGTTTCCGCTTGGGTTTAACGGTTAAGGGGTTGAAACAAACCCCAGCTTTCCGAAAGGCAGACGCCTGCTGCGAGAGCTTGAGCCTGGGCTTTCTTGTCACGGCGGGTGGAGGGCAGAGGCGCATAAGCTTTAGTTGTCTAACAAAAGGGTAGACAGGTGATGGGGGAGAAGGGGTCCTACAAGGGGTTGGGGTTGCGTGGGGACTTGCGTATAGCGTTGAGGGATTGGGGGTTACGTGCGAAAGGTGATTCATGTGATCCGAAATCGCAAAGGTGATAGCGAAAACACTGCTGGGAGCGACATTTTCTGCAATGGTGCAATTTGAGACTGAAAAGAGTGCGCTCGTTGTTGTTGAACGCCGTGGCAAGCAGCCCAGACTCCTTCCATTTGACGGTTTTCATGCGGGTGCAGGGAGAGTGCAGGCGATGCTGCGTTTATGACTTTTATGACTCTCATGATTGTTTGCC